AAGATGTGGTACATATACACAATGGAATATTATTCAGCCATAAGAAGAAAACAAATCCTACCATTTGCAACAACATGGATGGAGCTAGAGGGGATTATGCTCAGTGAAATAAGCCAGGCGGAGAAAGACAAGTACCAAATGATTTCACTCATATGTGGAGTATAAGAACAAAGAAAAAAACTGAAGGTACAAAAACAGCAGCAGAATCATAGAACCCAAGAAGGGACTAACAGTTAACAAAGGGAAGGGACTGGGAGGATGGGTCGAAAGAGAGGGATAAGGGGGGAGAAAAAAGAAAGGAGGCATTACGATTAGCATGTATAATGTTGGGGGGAGCACGGGGAGGGCTGTGCAACACAGAGAAGACACGTAGTGATTCTACAGTATCTTACTACACTGATGGACAGTGATTTTAATGGGGTTTGTTGGGGAGACTTGGTGATGGGGGGAGTCTAGTAAACATAATGTTGTTCATGTTATTATAGATTAATGATACCAAAAAAGTAAATAAATAAATACTGACAATCACAAGTGCTGTTGAGGAATGGAACAGACACTCTAGAAAATGGTTTGGTAGAGTCTTATAAAGCTAAACATATTCATACTGTATGACCCAGAATTCCCACAGCTAGGTATTTACACTAGGAAAATGAAAATTTATGTTCATAGAAAATGTGTACACAAATGTTTACTGCAGCTCTATTCAAAACACCAAAAATTGGAAACAAGTAAAATATCCTATAGGGGTAAATCTATAAACAAATTGTGGTATATTCACACAATGTATGTTACTTGGCAATAAAAAGGAATGAGTCATTGATAGTTGCAATGTGCAAAAATCTTCATGAAGATCAGAAGAACAGTGAAATCTCAAAGGCATTGTATTGAATGAAAAATGTCATTTTCAAAAGATTACACACTGTATGATTGCACTCATAAGCTGTTCTCTAAAAGATATAACTATAGTGACAGAATAGTCTGGTAGTTGCCAAGAGTTTAAAGATAGGTTTGCATGTGGTTACAAAAAGAGAATGAGAGATTCTGGGGCTGGTTCAACTATTTTCATCCTGTTTTTGATGGTCACTACATAAATCTACATATATATTAAAAATTCTTAGACCTGTACACACACACATATACAGAAGTCACTTTTACTCTATGTTAATTAAAAATAAAATTTTAAGTTTAAAACTTTAAACAGAGTGCAAATATAAATTGTTAAAAACAAAACTAACTTATTTTCTAAAATTTTAGTTTCACGTTGTAAGACTAAATCCCAGTGAAGCCCTTTTTTTCATTAACAGTGAAAGATTTTTTACGTGGACTTCTTTAAGTAGTCTTTTTCATCACCCATTAACCTCACTAAGCAGGTCCTCCTTTATATAACAATATACATCGAAACAATAAAAGGGTAGAAGGATATATGCCAGAATGATAACTATAACAAGTTGTTTCTGGGTAATGTGATTTGAGATGACTTTTTCTTTTTCTTTTCTAAATTTTCCAGAATGAGCTTGTATAACTTTGATAATCAGTGGAAAAAAGGTACAGACACTTTCAAGCCAGGATTAGTTGAATATTCTAAAGGAAAGTGTGACTCCAATATGTAAGTGTGGAGAAGACAAATGACTAGGAGAGAAGGTAGACAGCACACAAAAGAGGTCAGATCTGTTGGTGGTACTGGTGAAGCTAAGAAAACTGGTGACTCTTAAGGAAGGTGAAGTCTAGCTTACCTGAGATTGTTTGAAAACATCCTTCCCAACCACATCCAGGTTTGAAGGGTCTTTGATAGAACTAACATACGCAGAAACAGCTTTGATCACCACATCACAGGGAGGAAGAACCAGCTGATGAGCTCGGACCTAGGCAAGAAATCAAGCAACACTGATGTCAAAGATGGATCGCTAAGAAAAAGTGTGAGATAGGGGTGAGATACAGAATTCATATTCAGTAAATCCACTGACAGGTAGTTAAAATCTTTACCTTAACAATGATTTTCCCCTTAATTCTCAGTACTGAACACTTGGAAAAGATCAAAAAGTATGAAGAAAGATAAAAATCGTATCATTCATAATCCTACTACATAGATCACCACTGTCTGATGACAATGCCGTAATGAATCAGCTCCCTTTCAAGATATATTTTGGCTGCTTCCAATTCTTTGCTATCAAAGGTGTGAAAAAGAAAAGCACAGGCCCAACATGGGGCTGCTTCTCCTAGGCCAAGTCACCAAACCAGGCCTTAATGCCCAACCTAATTTAATTGCTGTTGCAGTCTCTCCCAGGAGTTGACTTTTAAGCCAATCACCCTGGAACTCCCTGATCACTAGTGAAGTCATCTGTGGAAGACCCCCTCACCCTCCTAGGGGAAGGTGACCTTACCTGAAACAATCTCTAATCTTTCCTTTGCTAATAACTTTTTGCCCCACCCTCCCGTCTATAAAAACCTTCCATTTTGCACACCTCATTGAGCATTTCTCTCCTTACTAGATGGGTTGTTCCCTGATTCATAAATTGCTTAATAAAACCAATTAGGTCTTCTAATACACGTGGTTGAATTTCGTTTTTTAACAAAGGTAATGTAATGTGGACTATGACTGGGTCCTGATTTGAACTAACCAAAAAAAAGGCCTTTTTGAGACAACCAGGAAAAAACAAAAATGGACTGGATATTAAGATGATACCAAAAAATTATCATTACTTTTGTTAGGTGTAATAATGGCATTGTGCTTATGTAGGAAAATGCCCATATGTTTTAGGGGTACATATTGAAGAACATGGGAGTGAAACGCCTTAAAGTCTTATTTATTTTAAAATACATTAGCAAAAGCATTAAAAAAAAAACAGCAAGGGTGGCGACATCTGGATAATTTGGAGCTGAAAGGTGTTACAATCTATAGTTTGTTATATATTATTTTCTCTACTTTCCCAATGTTTGGAAGTTTGTAAGATCAAGGTTTTTGTAATGCTGCAATAAAATGTAGTTGTGATTTTTGTCCACTTTCCAATTATTTATTACAAGTTCTTCCTAAAATTACTGAGTGAAAAGGTATAAACTTAAGAGCTTTTTACATAAATTGTTTAGTCAAAAGTCTGTACCATCCATTCCTTCAACAAGTATTTACTGCCTGCTGTGTACTAGGCACTGTCTAGGCCCAAGGACTACAGCAGTGAACAAGGTAAGAACCCTGCCCTCATAGGAGCTTGCATTCTAAGGTACATGTCTTGGGATTGGATGAGGGAAGTCAAACACAGTATAAATAAGTAAACTGTGCAGTATTGCTAGATGTATAGATGTGCTATGGAGAAAATCTAAGCAGAGAATGGGCTAGGGAATATGTGTGTATGTGTGTGTGTGTGTGTGTATTCGCATGCATATAATTTTAAATAAGGTGATCAGTAAAGGCTACTGAGAAAATGACAGTTGAGAACACCTAAAGGAATGAGGAGACAGCTATGTGGGAGGAAAAGGCATTCCAAGTAGAGGGAAGTACAAAGGTTCTACAAGCGTGAAAGGTATGATGAGATCAGAGCTGTACAGGAGGCCAGACATTGTTCAGGGCTTTGAAAGCCACAGTAAAGACTGGGTGATCGATATGATATGATGTCATTGGAGGATTATGAATAGAGATAGAATGATCTGAGTCAGCTTTAAAAGGATCACTTGGCTGCTGTATTGAGAATAGACTGCAGGGTGGCAGGGGGATGGAAGAGTGCAAGCAGAAGACCAAAAAGTTAGTAAGGTGTTATAATAATCCAGGCAAGAAATACTGGTGTCTTGATCAGGGTAAGTAGCAGTGAAAATAGAAGTAGATATATTTTCAAGGGAGAACTGATAGTATTTGCTGACAAAGGAAATACACGGTGTGAGAAAGAAAAAGAGAAAGAGAAGTCAAGGCTGACTCCCAAGGTGTTCAGCTTGAGCAACTTGAAGGATGAAGTTTCCATTAATGAAACTGGGGAAGGCCTGGGAGGAAGAGGTTTAGGGGAAAGATCAGGAGTCTCCATTTGGACGTATTTTTTTAAATGTTTAGTAGGCCATTAAACATTAAAATATGGAGTCCAAGGGGGAGGCCAATGCTAGAGACATATTTAGGAGTCATCAATGGAGAGATGGTATTTAAAGGCATGAGACTGGATGAGATCAATCACCAAGGCAGCATGTGTATATAGAAAAGAGAAGGGACTGAAGATAGAACTCCAGGCCAAAGTTAAGAAGAAGTAGAGAATACAAGGAAGCAGCAAGGGAGATAGGAGCAGCAGTCACTGAAGTAGGAAGGAAACCCAAAGAGAGTCATGTCCTTAAAGCCAAGTGAATAACGTTTTCTAAGGTAGAGGGAGTGAGCAACTGGATCGATGCTGCTGATTGGTCAAGTAAGATGAACACTGAGAACTGGCCATTGGATTTATTAACAGAGAAGTTGATTAATACCTTGACTTTTCAAGAGCAATTTCAGCAAAGGACACTGAAGAGAGGATGGGGAAAGGGATGGTAAACAGTTCAAGTATAGACAATTCTGTAGAAGAGTTTGTGATAAGGGAAGAAGAAATATGGAGTAGTAGCTTGGGTGGAGGGAGAAAAGTCAAGAGCAGGTTTTGTTCTTTTTTTTTAAGAGGGGTGTACACTTACACATCTGCTGGCAAAGAGCCAATAAAGACAAGAACACTGATTATGCAGGAGAAAGAGGGGAGAAATGCCCTTAAGTTAGCAAGAAGGGATGAGATTTAGCATGTAAGTGAAGGAGTTGGCCTTAGACAGGAATATGGACAGTTCATCCAGTTAACAGGAGTCAGACAGTGCAAGCATATGGGCACTTCTATCAAAACTCCAGTCAAAACCTGATGTTCCCTAGGCATTGACATATAGGCAGAAAATGGGTCACATTACCTTAAGTGATGCAAGGGGATGTTCAGGTCCCAAGAGGCTCCAGTGAAAAGCTGCCAGGTCCTCATCTGGAAGAATGTGGTTACCTATAAAGTGCATTTGTCATTTATTAGCTATACAAATGATTTCTTAGAAGTTCCAGGCCATGAAAGGGCTTCTGGGAGAGAAAATAATCAAGTAATTCACATAGGTATAGATTCTTAATGTAATAACTACAGTAGCTATGTGTTAACTACCTATTATGTATCATATGCATTGTATGTATTATCCTTATAATAACTGAGTATGGTAATATTATTATCCCCATTTTACAGATAAGGAAATTGAAGGTCAGAGAAGTTTGGTGACTTAGTGCAAGGTGGCACAGTTCTCACACCAGGATATGAAGCAAGGGCTGTCTGACTCCAAAGCCCATGCAATTATCTATTATCTAGTCATGCTGCCTTTTATAATAGCAGCCACCAAATACTGACTTCCCAATAAATGATGGGCATTTTATATATCTTATTTAAATTTTCAATAACACAAAGAGGTATTATTATTACATTTCACAGATAAGGAAACTGAAACCAAGGAGGTATAACTTCAGGGCCTAAATCTAAAACTTGTGTTAACTCCATTAGAATATCCAAACTCAAATCTTCATGACAGATATTAGCCTTCACACTGTCAGTACTTGGAAAACCAGCTCAAAACATAAACTCTCTGCAATTTATTTCCAAATACATCTTTAAAAGACAGATTGATGGATAGATAAATGATAAAGTATAATAAAATGTTAATGGCAGAATACAGGTGGTAGATATAGTACTTTTGGTTCAAAATTCTTTCAATTTCACTATATGTCTGGAAAATTTCATAATAAAATGTGAACACAACAGAAACAAAAGGAAGAACAAGCCATTTGTATTCTTGATCTAACTTTAGACACTTGGGGAAGAAACGCTAATGGTTTGTGTGGGGAACTAAAGTTGTTTAGGGCTAGCAAAACATTTGGCCTAAGATACTACTCTGCACAAAATACTTATGGGATATAACAATAGGAAAAAGTTTCTCAAAAATCAAAATAATGTTGTGGAATATGATGTATTATTTCATAAGTCAAACATGCTGAGTTTCTAGTATGAAGCCCAAAAGCCTGCTGTTCTCCCCAGCACAGTGTTTGGCATGTGCACTTTAAGAAGATAAACCCAATAATGATAGGCTAAATCGCTTTGCTTTTCACCTCAACACTGGGAGAGGAAACTTTACCAATTTCTGGAGTCTGTTCTTTGAACTACCTACCTAACAGTGCAGCAAATATGGGAAAATTCATCCGTTTCAGGCCCAGTTGCTTGGCCACCTCCTGAATCAGGAACTGGTTGGTAGTGAGGTTCTTCCCATTCCAGCTCAGCTTCAGAGCATGGGAACTGTAGTAAGAGGGAATATTGTACAGAGCATACTCGGAGTCATGGGCAAGAAGGCCATGGAAGCCATTTTCCCTGAAAAAAGCAACCACCTCCAAATGGTGATCCTCAAGGCTCTGAAAGACCTAGGAGGAAAGAAGAGATGAACATGTCATGCAACAGAAGCTGACCTGTACTTGGGTGTTAAGTTCAGAAGGTTAGTAACTAAATTTTCCTGTTTGTTGAAATTTAAGATTATATATGGCTGAAGAGAATACTCTTCAAAAACAAAACAGAAAAAGCCTCTCCTAGCCTAGAACTTGATTATTCCTATAAACACAGAGAGCATTATCCATGTGTTCATTCAAATACCCAGCCTTTTTATACTCCTTTCATAAAACTGTGGCTGAGGCTCCTAAAAACAATACTGAAATTAACATGGTATATGTTAAGTTTTTACTTTAAACAATAACAGAAGAAACCTTCATTAGAAAGATAATAAAGCTATTATTTATTGCTCAGCACCTTCCATACACCACACATACTTTACCTGTATTATCCCATCATTCCAACAACTGTGGGTAAGGTAGGTATGGATGAAAAAATTTACACATGGAAATAGACCCAGAAAGGTTAAATAAAATATAACTAACCTCCAAATATAAATCATAGAATGCTTTTAAAAAAATCTTTGCTTTCTCTCTTAGCAGCACGTCAGGCCACAGGGCACCAAAATAGGGCACTTCCAACAGGTAGGAGTCAGAAACTTCACCTTACTTTAGAAATGGGAAAACTAAGTCTGTGAGCTTGGCTGCCCCCAAAGTTGCATAATGAGTAAGTGTAGAGAGGATTCAAGCCCACGCTGATCTGACTCCAGAATGCACAATTTCCACTGTACCAGGCTTCTACCAGGGGAGAGCTAATTTTTATGCAATAGAGGTAGATCATTAAATGCCCTTACTGAGCATGCCTCTATTGCTGCATGTATAGCACACTGAAAAATTATCTGTATATTGGCTCTACCACATTAAATCCCTTGGCTACAGAGACCTTATTTCTCTCTGTATTCCTGGCTCCCACGTAAGACCTGGACCATACTAACATGAGTAATAATGGTTAACAGATACTGAACATGCACTATGTGCTAAGCAATGCTCCAAGTACTTTATATGCATTAGCTCATTTAATACTCAAAACAATCTTATGAGGCCATACCTATTACTATTATCACAATTTTACATTTCTATCCCTAAGATCACATGGCTGGAAGGAGTGGCTGGAAGGAGTGAAGCCTGGATTTGGACTCTGGAGCCTGTGGACCTTGATAATTTTGTTGAACACAACTGACCTACTCTTTCATTTAAGTTGTAAAGGAATGGTAGTTTTCTGGAGTCTGATAAGAGTTTCAAAGCATTAAGCTTTTGCTAGGCTATGCAAAGAGAGTCTAGTCACAGTAGTCATATCACACATTAAGTCACACAAGGGAACACTGATAAGCAGATAGCAAAGTCTGTATTTGTTTGATATCCATGCAAAGGAACCAAAAAGCCTTACTCTGCAATGCAACGTATTTATGCCTAGAGTTATGATGAACTCCAAATGGCTCAGGGTAGTACTTTTATGATGTTCCCTGCTGATATTTTCTTCCAGCATACCTCTCACAAAAGTCAATGAATGAGCATGCATTGCCCTTGTACCAGGCAGGCATAGTGCAAAGTATGACACCATCTTTCTCATCATCACAACCTGACCATGTAGGCATGGTAAGCCCCATTTTACAGATGAGGAAACTGAGGATTAGAGAAGTTAAGGTGCCATGCTTCGGGCTACAGAGCTGGGAAATAGGAACCTGGGTCAGACTGACACCAAAGTCAATTCTGTTTCTACTAAAACACATTACCTGGGATTCTCAAGTTGGCGGCGAGAGTAGGGTGGTGGAAATCTCCTCCCAAAAACATATGTATTTTGAAAATACAGCAAATACACCTTTCCTAAAAGAGTGACAAGATGATACACAGTACATGGGCCAGGCTATATCTTCAAGAACCCAACATCTCATGGAAAAGGGTAAGATACACATCTGTGACATGGATGGACCCGAGAACTCCCCCCACCCCAGCTCACTGGGAAGAGGAAAAGAATCAGAGTGGGGAAGGAGTGGAAGCACAGGACTGCTAAATAACCAGCCCTACTAATCTGCCCTGGGAGCAAAGACACACATTGCATGGTGCACTGATATTAGAGGAGTGGAAAAGCAAAATCCGAGACTAAGAATGTGAACAGGTTCCCACAGCCGGGTGCCCTGGGACAAAAGAAAAACAGGCACTTTAAAAGTCGTAAAGGACAAAGGTTTAAATCGCCTGGCACACTCAGTGTAGCAGGCTGCGAACCTTACGGAATTTCAACCCTGGGTGGCAGCAGAGCTGCGAACCCCCTCATGGCATTAAGTAGCCTGATGTTCCTCTCCCCCCGCTGGCAGTTCACGCAAACTGCTGACCCGCCATTGCTGCAGTACACCAGGGGAGCAGCCCCGCCTACAGCAACCACACAGCATAACCCAGAGGTTTCTCCCTGTATGCGTCTAACTGGCCCAGAACCAGAAGGGCTCCCTGTGCATGGGTGACCGGCACAGACAGAGGAGACGGGCACGGAGTCGGAAGCACGAAGGGGCTTTGTTCTCGTGGCTGAACATGTCACTCGCCTGCGACTGATGCTAGTGCCCTTGGCCATACCAAGGGCTGCCCTGCCCACAGCAGCTCACGGGATTAACCAAGAGGCTGCTCCCTGCATGCAATTGACCAGCACAGACCATGGAGATGGGCGCAGAGTTCACGAAGCAAGAAGGGTCTCCGTTCTTGTGGCAGAACACAATCCACTGGCCTGCAACCCCTGCCAGTGCCCTAGGCCATCTACAAGGCCACCACGCCCTCAGAGGCTAGGGGATTAACCCAGAGGCTGCTCTCTGTTAAACAGCACAGAGAGCAGAGACAGGCAAGGCGATGGGAAAGCAGGAAGGGACTTTGTTATCCCAGCTGACACATGTGCCACTCAGCAGCGACCACCCCCATCACCATGAAAAGGCAGAAGAACCTTGTTCAGTCCAAAATCCCTCAAACACCAGTAAGAAGGCCTGGTGAGACAGAAATCACCAATCTTACTGAAAAAGATTTCAAAATTAAAGTCATAAGCATGCTGATAGAGCTACAGAGAAATATGCAAGAGCTAAGGGATGAATTCCAGAGGGAGATGACAGAAATGAAACAAATAATGGAAGGATTTAAGAGCAGAATGGATGAGGTGGAACAGACTGGTAATGGAATAGAAATCAGAGAACAGGAATACAGAGAAGATGAGGCAGAGAGAGATAAAAAGATCTCTAGGAATTAAAGAATATAAAGAGAATTGAGACCAATCCAAACAGAAAAAAATTTGCATAATAGGGGTACCAGTAGAAGAAGAGAGAGAAAAAGGGATAGAAAGTCTCTTTGAAGAAATAATTGCTGAAAACTACCACAATCTCGGGAAGGAAATAGTCTCTCAGACCATGGAAGTCAACAGATCTCCCCAAACAAGAGACCCAAGGAGGACAACACTAAGACATATAATAATGATAATGGCAAAGATCAAAGACAAGGACAGAGTATTGAAAGAAGCCAAAGAGAGAAAAAAGATCACATACAAAAGAAAACTGATGAGGATATCACCAGACCTCTCAGCAGAAACCTTACAGGCCAAAGAAACAAGACCCTCGAGACAAGAATACTACATGCAGAAAGATTATCATTTAAATCTAAAGGAAGAATTAAACAATTTACAGATAAGCAAAAGGTGAGGGAATTGACCTCCAACAAACCATCTCTACAATGTATTTTTATGCACTCCTGCTGTTTATTTATATTACTTAAAAAATTTTTTTTATTAAGGTATGATTGATATACTTACGAAGGATACACATGAAAAAACATCGTGGTTAATACATTTACCCATATCATCAAGTCCCTACCCATAACCCAATGCAGTCACTGTCCATCAGTGCAGCAACTTTCCAGAGATCCACTATGTCCATTCTCTGTGATACACTTTTCTCCCAGTGATCGCCCACACCATGTGTCCTAAACATGACATAATACTATTCAGTCCCCTTCTACCTCCCTCCCCACCCACTTTGCCACACCCCTCCCCTTTGGTAACAACTAGTTCATTCTTGGAGTCTCCGAGTCTGCTGCCATTTTGTTCCTTCAGTGTTGCTGCACAGTTATACTCCACAAATGAGGGAAATCATTTGGCATTTGTCTTTGCCCGCCTAGCTTATTTCACTGAGCATAATGTCCTCCAGCTCCACCCATGTTGTTGCAAATGGGAGGATTTGATTCTTGCTTATAGATGAATAGTATTCCATTATATATATGTACCATATCTTCTTTATCCATTCATCTACTAATGGACACTTAGGTTGCTTCCATATCTTGGCTATTGTAAAAAGTGCTGCGAAAAACATAGGGGTTTATATGTTTTTTTGAATCTGAGAAGTTGTATTCTTTGGGTATATTCCAAGGAGTGTGATTCCAGGGTCAAATGGTACTTCTATTTTTAGTTTTTTGAAGACCCTCCATATTGCTTTCCACAATGGTTGAACTAGCTTACATTCTGACCAGCAGTGTAGGAGGGCTCCCATTTCCCCACATCCTTGCCAGCATTTGTTGTTCTTAGTCTTTTCAATACTGGCCATCCTCACTGGTGTGAGGTGATATCTCATTGTGGTTTTAAGTTGCATTCCCCTGATGATTAGTGATGTGGAGCATCTTTTCATGTGTCTGTTGGCCACCTGAATTTCTTCCTTGGAGAACTGCCTCTTCATATCCTCTGCTCATTTGTTAATCAGGTGATTTGCTTTTTGGGTGTTGAGGTGTGTTAAGTTCTTTATATATTTTGGATGTTAACCCCTTGTCGGATATGTCATTCACAAATATATTCTCCCATACTGTAGGATGCCTTTTTGATTTGTTGATAATGTCCTTTGCCATACAAAAACGTTTTAGTTTGATGTAGTCCTATTTCATTTTTGCATTTGTTTCCATTTCTCGAAGAGGTGGGTTCAGGAAGAAGTTGCTCATGTTTATATTCAGGAGATGTTTGCCTATGTTGT